GCGATTTATCCAGGCCTCAACGGTGGCCCCAACGCCGACACCCTGGCGATCAGCAGGGATCCAAGCGATGGACGGTTGCCAAATGGGCAGCACAGCCACGGCGGGAAAAATACTTGGTTTCCGTGAAAGCCTCGAAAATATACTTCTTGAATTTGATCAGTTTACGCATTGCATGCGTCTTGTGAAAAGCCCATTGGCATAGTTCGTCTGCGGGATAATTTTTGCAGTGGAGCTCACGCACTCCAGGCGCAAGTCCCGGTACCGACGCACGGGGCTCAACACCCTTCGGTGGCTCCAAGTCTCCAAGTCACAGATCGCAGGAGTGTGTATCGCATCCACGGGTCCCAGTCTCTCTGAGGCCCTCTTGGCCTTGCTGTGCATCCTTGCGGTGGTGCGGACCTTGTCCGGATCTTGTCTTGATGCTCTGTAATTGCGGCAGTTGCAAGGTCGTGAGCATGATGGAGAAGGTGCCGCCTCCATCGGAGGCTACAACGGAGAGCGCCGCACCAGCGTACAACCTCCCCCCGGGCTACGAGGACGTCACTCATCCGAAACCGACTTCTCGGGCGTCCCTCCCGGAAGGTCGGCAGATGCCCAGCCGGCCAAGGGTGAGTTTCACCCACAGCGCACCAGCATCCGCGCAGAGCCTTCCGAGCCCTGGATTTTCACAATCAGCTCAAGGCACTACCCCGAAGTCCACACCGTCCCTGCCGCCTACAGACACGGCCTTCTTACCAAGGTCGGACCATGCACCCCAGCCCCGCGAACTGCCATCAAACGGTGTGCGGCCAGGCGTCCAGACGAGCCTCCCAATCTTTCCACCGCTGGGTACGAACCCCCAGCAGCAGCCCGGGCAGCCTGGGCCTCCGAGATCGGGGCCAGTTTGCCGTGGCTAGCCGAGCAACAGACGCACTGGCAACTGGTCTCACATCCTTGAAAGCTAGAAAAGAGTGCGCCACCAGCTATCGCAGTACCAGACACATGCCTCTGACTCCTCCTTCTCCCCATCCTTTCCTGGCCTCAACGCCGATGCCGAGTGCAGCTGAAAGGTCGAAGCAGAAGTTGTGCTCTAGGTCAAAGCGGTCGGCTGCATTCTAGCTTTGTTGCCAAGACCGCTTGTCTTTCGTCAGCCATCCGATGTGCGAAAATTCCCTTTATGTCGTGGTTTTGGCTCGAGATTTCTCTCAGCGTTCTTGGTGGACCGGGAAGGGCGTTAAAGTCCCAGCCATGGACGCAGCAGGGGCCTTGCAAGCAGAATGTCGCATCCCTCCTGGAACCTCGTAAGCACAGCACGCTACACTGACAAACTAAGCCAAGAAAGCCACCCAGGGGAAGCGAGACAGATAATTAGTGGAAGTTTTGAGGACAGGATAGGACAGGGACCATGTCAGAAGAATGCAGTTACGACTGCAAGCGTGGAGAAGGAAGCCGGAAGGAACGCTGTGTCTAGGAAGGTCGATCGGTTGAGACTTGCGGCCCTACTTGGCCGAGCCGGAGTGAGAGAACGGTAGTCGCCAGTCTTCCGAGAACTGCCTGCTTTCACCTGGAAGTCAGAGCTCGTGTCTAAGAGTCATTAAGAGTCTAAGCTCCAGGGTTCTTTTTTTGGAAATCCTCGGCCAGCTATCTGGGTGCCTCTCCTCTAGGGGCTCTAGGGTTAGAATTAGATGGTAGCGCGCTATGCATATATGCAGTGGTAGCGGCGAGAACTCAAGACAATCATGCATGAGACGAGTCTCGTAGACACAATACGTGGAGCAGGCGAGGTACGAATTCTGATGATCACGATGTTTGCCTCGAAGTCTCACGACGCTGATCGATGGAGATATCTCTTGTGGAAGTCATCCTTGAGAGTTCGGATTGCATGCACCTTTCTCTTATTCAGTGTGAACCCATACCAGCAGCTTTCGACTCCACAATGCAAACCCATTGCGGGACGGCCAGACGTCGCTTTCCTAGGCAACAACCCAGCTGGCCTTCACCGGTCCCGCGCCAAACGCACGCGCACTCAGATGGGGAAATAGCCATGGGGCAAGCGTGAAAGAGATGTCGAGCAGGCCCCTTAGACCTGTGCTACTGTTCATTCACGTAGAGCAATGCATGTCGGCATGCCGTGGGGCCGTTTCCTGCATGTGCTTGTTGTCTGCAGTGATTTTTAGGGCTCAGCGCCGATTCGCTTGAGATGCGAATCGAAGATGCCGGACGAGAAACCGCGCCGTTGTTTGTCCTTCAGCACCTCGCCAGATATATTGCTGCCTACCGCGGCCCTGAAGCTGCAACGTGGAGACCTTGCTCGTCCTCGTGATCGTCTCGTCGTCGTCGCCCTCCTCGTCCTCCTCCTGCTCATCCTCCTCACTCTCGTCCTGATTGTAGTGATAGTAGGACAATGTAGGACATAAAGAAGTTCCCCCGACAGCCTAGCCGTCACCTGTCCATGGCTCTGCCACTGACCCTGTCACGCCCCGCCACAGACCCTGTTACAGGCCCTGCTTACCCCTGTCGTAGACCCTGTTGGTAGGCCTTGTCCCAAAGCTGGTATTGGTGTTTCTGGTTGTAGTACTGTCTTGTGGGTCAAGCTGGGCAGTAAGGGCACCAGTCGAGTCCCTTGTGAAAAAAGTGGTTGTGGCGGTTGTCGTGGTTGCGTTGGTGCCAGGCGCATGATTGAGTCATCTGAGCTCTCGTCTTCGACCATTGTTGACAAGGTATGTTTTCGAGTACCCGTCCTTGCCAAGTGGTTGGCAATAAAGATTACCTGATCTTGGAGGAGCAGGGGAGGAGGGCGAGGAGATGTGATTCATGACGACAACGCTGAGAAGAATAAGTTACTGCTAGTCTATGTGGCATTCAGCAGCATGCACCCCACCTTGCTTTGTCGAAAGCGCCTGCAGAAGAGCCCAGGCATATCCTCGACATACGACGACAGCCCGTTCGGTCTGCCTGAAAGCCCATGGACGTCTACTCCGGGCAGTTTAGCGAACGAGCCGCTTTCGAAGACAGTGGCCCGGATGACCGTCATGCTTGGATGCATTTGGATATCGCATTCCGATTGAGGTGGTTGTTGCAACAAGGAAAGAAGCGCTGCATCTCGTAGTTGTCCTGAATGGTCCTGACAAAGCTCGCTTTCTTCAAGGTCTTTCTCGTCCGTCATGGTGAGGCCGACTCTGTTCCGCGAGCACAGACTCGAAGCAGTTCGATGGATCAAGGAATATCTTCGGACTTCGTAGCAGGGTGGTGCATTGCATGATGTGAGCTGAAGTACAGGAGTGTGTGTGTGTGTGTGCGCGTGTTTTTTCCGCCAGCTCCTTGTGTAGAGTTGAAGGACAGTGCTTGTTGCAGTAAGTCTTCGACAGATTCACTTTTCCGATTGGTTAATGCAGAAAGAGAAGCCCCGTCCAATCACCGTGTATCCGTTCCCCTGCTACATGTGTACGAGGCTTTGCACAATGTCGCAGAAAAGTCTGCTCTGTGACTTGCCTGCGAATTTTGCCACAGTGCGAATTGAGGGATGCGGGATGTACTGTTGAGTCTGAATGGTTCCGGCGTCTGAGTTTTTGGCACCGTGCAGGCTCCTGCGTCCAGTGCTTTGCGATAACTTTGCCTGTCCTATGGTGGTTTATAGTATTAGTATTAGGTTTTTACATGTTGTATGTTGGTGGCATGGCGTGTTTTTGTTTACTGTTCCGGCATGTCACCGTAGCAAGCTCGAAGTAGTTAACTCGAATATGCAGATCGAAGCTTCGATGGAGTCAGCATCCCACGTCAGAAGGCTTATTGTGTGAGCCGCTAACAGAGCGGCAACTATCAGAAACGATCGTGGCAAGAGCTCACTCGAACGTCGGTTCGTGCCTCGGCCTTGGAGGAATTTCGGTCTGCTTTAATCCTCTTGCCTTGGAGCTGAGGCAACAGGCACTCGCCAACAACAACAACAAGACCAAGGACGAGACCTTGCATCCAGAGGCCATGGAGCCAGCCGGCCGGCAATTTCCGCGGGTCTCGTCGCGGGGTGGGTGTGTGGGTATGGACAGCCAGCGGGGCATGTACAGAAGTGCTTTAACTTTTCCGTGGACAGCTCTTGACCTACTATACCTACTGGTAGCAGTTTCTGGCGTCATGGGGCGTGAGATTCTTGATCAGCTCTTGAAGCTGAGAACCTCCAGAATGTCATGTGCCGCCTAGAAACAGGTTCAGACATTTTCCAGTGGTGTCTAGAGCTCTTGCGTTTATGCGAAGCTGCCCAGGATCGCACGAAAGTCCGCATTGAGCGACGAAGGTTTGAAAGATGCCCCGTTTCCTGTCTGCAACCGGCTGGAGCCACAAGAGCTGTACCCCAAGATTAGGCCCGCTTTTGCTTTCGCTTCTCGACGCTAGCCAGGAAAAACACGGCAATTCTCGTGATGTCCCCGAAGAGGTCAGCGTCAGGTTCCTCTGCAACCGAGGTTGTCCGCGAAAGGCAAGGAACAGGCCGTGGCCACAGTCCCTTTGGTGAATCATAGCTGATGATCCGTGACAGTGCCGGGTGGAGAGTGTCGCCGACGGTTTCATTTCAACACTCGCTACCCGTGTCCTGACAGCCAACATGAAGTTCTCTGCATGCCCATTCTGATTGGAGATCTTGGGGATCTCATGTCGCGAAGGTGGTCATGGTGTGTAGCTGGGATCTAAGGCGGCAACTATCATGAAGATGTTGCTAGACGATGCCGATTTAAAGCCGCCGGAAGCCATCTTCGTGTCACCTCTGCAACGTGCTCTACAGACAGCAGCGGTCATGTGTCTGGGCTTGCAATCACAGCTTAGTCACGGCTTGAGGTCTATCGGTTGCTAGACGATAGTGCAGCTCCGGATGCTGTCCTCCTCGCTATCGGGACTCTAGTGAGGAACAGTCGCAGCGCCAGAACTTCAGGACTCACTGGCCCGGAAGCCCTGAAGCATCGGCACTTCATTTAGGAGAGTAGTGGTCCAGTCTTGAGTCTTGTCGCGGAGGTTCCCGAACCACAGCCGCGTCCATGTCCGCAACCTCCTTCGTGAGCGATGCACCGGCTTTCCATGCGATGAGAGGAAACGGGTTTCAAGCAAGGCACCATGCCGATCCCTCGGACATGTAGGCGGCTGAGTGCTAGAAGGCGAGCAGCTGGAACAGTGAGGCCTGCGACTAGTGATGTTTTTTTGGCTCCGTGTTGGCAGGAGTGAGGGCTGGGACTTGGCCGGGCGGAAGACCTTCAGCTACATGCACCTCGGCGGAAAATTCCAAAGAGCAAGCAAAGCCATGTGACTCTTAGAGGTCGCTAGCAGGCGCAGTCCGATGCGAGACGACCTTTTGGTGCCTACTCAGCAGTCAGGAGCTTCGACGAAGACGTGGAAGATGTGGACTGTGTGAATTGTGACCTCGACGATGCCGAGGCGCGATGGACCTGCCGGAACTCCGGGGATCTGGGCGGCCTTGCAGAAGATGCACCGATGATTTTTATGGTCTTTATGGTTATCAAGGTTCGAGAGGGCCCGCACTTTTTTTTTCCCTACC